GAACAAATTAGTACGACCTATGTAAATGTTCTTAACTCTCTCCCCCTCCCCCCCCCCCCCCCCCCCTCTCTCTCTCTGGCGCTGTCACTCTTTATCTCATCCTTATTCCATCGTAGACCATCTACCCCTACATTTCATCATTATCCAACCCCGATATTTCTCGTTGTAGACACCTTCAGCGGCTTTCGTTCTATACCTTTTTTTTCTTTTCCTTTTTTTTTCTTTTCTCCCTTTCTTCTCTTTAGGGTGCTTCTTATTAACGACGCGATTAGATACAATAAGTATTTCCGTAATATTTTCCTAATATAATATTTCATAATATTATTAATTTGACGATTAGTTTTGATAGATCGTCATTTATTAATGTCATTTTTATTAGATCGTTTTTTTTTTACTTATATATATATATGTGTGTGTGTGTGTGTGTATTATAATTATAATTTGTAGCTTCAAATGATTTATTTCATATAATAATCGATTTTATGAAGTTAAAAAAGAAATTATTTTTTTTGTTCTTTTTCTTTTCTATATATATATAAATATATTTATATAAAATATATAAATAAATATTTATATATTTACATATATATATACACATTACTTTTCTGAAATTATTTCTATTGTAATGTCCTACAATGACTTTTTTCCATCTAAATAATAATAATAATAATAATAATAATAATAATAATAATAATAATAATAATAATAATAATAATAATAATAATAATAATAATAATAATAATAATAATAATATAAGTACAACATTAATTTTAAGTTTAATGATTAATAGTTTTAATAATTATTTATAATAAAATTTTATTTTTACCTGTTAATACTTTTACTTAATAATTTTCATTGAACGTCTAATTAATACATAATAATAATAAATTCACATTAGAATAATTAATTGTAACGATTTTTATATATTTGTATATATATATATATATATATTTTCTTTTTAATTATATTGGTAAGCTATAATTATGAATGAACTTTAGAGATAGCTTAATATTTTCCTTTTCCCATACTTCTATCCAATTAAAATGATTACGAGTTATTGACATACAACCGCAATTGATATTTTTTCGATAATAAATTTTAAAGGAAAAATGTAAAAGATGAGAAAAGCAATGAAATATATATATATATATATATATATATATATATGTATAGATAGATAGATAGATAGATAGATAGACAGATATATAGACAGTTTAAAAGAAGAGAACTCACCTTTTTCATGAAAGACATCACGTTGGCGGGCAACATCCTGACGGCTGTCCACTTTCAACGACGTCGAAGAAAGAAGAAAGAAAATAAAGAGGTGACTTGGAAGGAAAGAGAAGGGGAAAGAAATAGAGAAACAGAGAGTGAGAGAGAGAGAGAGAGAGAGAGAAAAAGAAAGATAGCAAAACTTTTTACGTCCCTGTTGCGTCTCTCAATCCTCGATGTCGTAGTTGCTTTCGAGAGTCTTTTTCAAGTACTTGTTAGAGGGTATAGAAAGAGATGCAGAAGTAAGAAAGAAAGAGATAAATCGAGAAGTAAACGGGTGGAAGAAAAGAAATAGAAATAGAAAGATAGATAGATAGATAGATAGATAGATAGATAGATAGATAGGTAGATAGATAGAGAGAGAGAGTGAAGAAAGAGAGAAGAAAAAAAGGAAAAAGAAGAGAAGTTTAACGGAAGTAAAGGAAAGTATTTTCACAAGGACAATATCGTAGAAACTTCGTCGAATCCTGTCGCTTCTTTCTCTTCTTCCGTAGTCGTTTTCGTTGATTTTATCAATGCTGATTTTAATCCTGAGCCACCGGGCTCCTCGAGCATCATCAACGAGGACGACATTACTTAATATTCTTTCTTATTTTTTTTTTCTTTTTTTTTTTTCTTTTTTTTTTCTTTAAACTTCTTTTCTTCTACCAACGAATGGACCTAACGTCGAAATAATCCTTTCCCCCCCTTATTTTCCCATTGTCTCTATTTTTTCTTCGATCTTATTTTATTTGCCAACTGCTTGATTAACTAGCTCGACCGAAACTATCTGAAACATCAAATATTAATATCAAATTAATTTTGCTAAATCATGCACAATTGATATACATATTTATGTAAATCATATCTATATATATATATATATATATATATATATATATATGTGTACATATATGTATGAGATAATGTTTATGTATGTATCGATGGGATATGTATATATAAATAATTAATACGTATGTATAGTTTGTAATGTTTAAATAATTTATAATACATATACGTAATATATGTAATTTATGTACATATGTATATTTTCTTTATATACTTATGTAAATTGAGATATGAGATTTTATAAAGTATATATATATATATAAATATTTATAATTGTTTGTAATGTTTAAATAATTTATAATACATATACGTAATATATGTAATTTATGTACATATGTATATTTTCTTTATATACTTATGTAAATTGAGATATGAGATTTTATAAAGTATATATATATAT